CATTATTTACAAGGTCTAGGGCCGCACGACGCAAAGGTCACATCGCCTGTTAATACCTTTAGTAGTCAAATGTTGGCTTACAACGTGATTCAGTGTAAGGAGTGGCCGCAAGCTCTCGTGAATGTCATTTACTAGTTTTGTCACGTTCCGTTCAATTCATTTCGGTTCTGTTTTGATAAAATACGAATTCACCTTTTGATTTTGTAATGAATATAAGGTTCAAGTAACAAAGTATAAAATGTTAATGTCGTTTAAATTATAACAGATAATATAGCAAGTTATACTTATGTTAGTTAAGTTTTTCGATTCTTTATTTACAAGTAAATACTATGTATACCGATCTAATAATCGATCTCGGTCAAATTTTATTTATTTAAGCACTTTAATCCATTTGCTTTAAATGTAACAAAACTTAGGATTAACAGATAAATACAACAACAAAACCCGATCTATTACTTACAAAGTGATAGATTTTCGTGCTCTCTCTTACATAAAATAATTAAAATATCGTGTAGACCGATTGTTGTTGTGCTCCGTAAGCGAATTGTTAAAGCGATAAACGTTGTAAATAGCAGTAAATCTAGGAAAAATTATGCTTACGTACTCTAAAGATTTTTAAGAATAACGCAATGTTTTTAATCAATTGCTTTATAATCCTGACTTTAAAATAATAAGTCAATGATTTGTCATGAAATGCAATAAGCTTAGTGCATTAGAGGTAAGCGCACGGTCTCTCGTGATATGCCCTTAAATACATCGTTAGTAAATTCCCCAACATGGCTTCCTCGACTGCAGCCAATAGTAAGGCAGAATATAAGACAGCTTTGCATCTTCGTGTGGGAATGCGAAGAGTTGCAAGAATTACTTTAATTGCATATGTTATGTTTAAAATGATACGTCTTAATAGAACAGTATGTACCTACAAGATTTTTACTATAATCTCTTTGTCTTCTATTGTCTATGAACAAAGCTTTCTTTGGTTTGGTCTGATTTTAAGTCAATGTTTTCTTATTTAGTTTGCTTTTAAGCTTCTATAATAATCTGATAGCTAACATGCAGTGTTAAAATAGCGTCTTATAAAATTACAAAAGCAACTTCAGTTGGAGAGCCACCCCTCTGGCAACGTCAAAGTTTTGTCGACCCCCAGTCTATTATAAAAGGCCTGTATATACCGTCTATGCCTACAACAGACACTATACAACCGCTATATCGCCGTAGATACAGTTCGAGCCGCAGTGGTGTGAGTGAACACGATGAAAATCTTTATTTTCACGCTATATCTCTCCTTATCTAATCGCCCCGGTCAGATAAAGACAGAGCGCCGGAAAAACTGGCGCGGGGCGGGGGTAAAGGCTACATCGATTCCGCGCTTTCACTGCTAGGGGCCGTGTAAACCTTTGAAAGCGGCACTCCGGCCGGTCGATTGTCATCTCTAATGCCATAGGACAAGAAGGAAATTTCCGTGCATAGAGATCACTGGTAAATGGATTGCCTCCCTCTTGGGGGTTCTCATAGTGGGATCTAGATGGCGTAGATATGCTGATACGCGGAGTTGTGTGTGTGAATGCACTACACTCGTGTGCGAGGGTGAATAGGTGTATTTTCCGACTACGAAGTTATACTGGTATGCAGCATAAAGGGAAGCTTCCTATGGGTTAAAATTTGCTTGTGTTTGCAAATATATGAGGGGTTGTAGGTAACCATCCCTTTTTGTAATATAATTTTATGGTGAGTGTAGATAGGTGGATAGATTAGGGAAGACGGAGGCTGTGATTTGATTTGATTAGGAGGTGTTTGCGTTAGGGTCGGGAGAGATAAGGCTGATTGGATCGTAGGAGTAGGGCCGCTGCCGGGAGGGTCCGCTCTTTATGGAAATATGTTTTTAATGCGGCCGGCTCATTGAATTAGTCGACTTCGTGTCACTTGAAGTGAGATTAATCCCTTAAAGTTAGCTTGTCATTACAAACAGGGTGCGTGCTTAATGAAGACGGAAAATCAATTGAACTTAATCTCGAAACATGTTGTATGTTTAGAATATAATTAGAAGTACAAGTATTATTTATATGTTTTAATAAACATCGTACAGTAGTTGAAGTATTGTAAACGAGTCTTAGGTAAAAATGCAAATATCTTTTATGTGCATAGCAATACCAAGTTTCGTTCCTTTAAGTAATCCTAACATTTGCGTATTTGATTGTTCTCCTATTTGTTGTATTGTCAAACGTGTATATCCATTATTAACGGATTTAGAGAACTTTGGCAGCGAATTACAGAAGAAAGGCCGTAAGCTGTCCACTTCTACGGGCAGCGGTATTATGTCCCATTATAATCGCTAAACTCCGTCCGATCTCACAACAAAGGGGTCGTTTTTGTTCCTGTCAAAACACAAAAGGCGGCTCTTGATGTCACAGCGCCTGCTCTTTTGAGTTTATACTACACTGCAAATTAAAGTACTACGATAACAATATGTACTGGATTTTGTCTAGTTGTTTGTTTATTTGTGCCTTTTTATCTGCACCGGCATGATCTCTGTTTGACATTCGCTATGGGAGCCGCGCTTGTATTGGCCGCGGAATGTCGTTGACAGTGAAATGGGTATCACAATTAATAAAACTTTCCGATGTTCGGGGATAAGCGATCGCATGCTTCACATTCTTGCTTTTTTAACGTGATCCAAAAAATCGGTAACACTTGAGGAGTAGCATTGTCGGTCCTAGGAAAATAATTGTTTACACGGAAAAAATTATAAAGACAAATAATGGAATAGGATCGTACCAACGACGCACAGTATTATCATTGACTGGGCTTGAATTCAGCTATACGCAGTTTCTTTTAATAAGTACCTTTTTGTGAATTTGATTTTATAGGTATTTGAGTAAATCTCGAGATATCTTCCAAAGTAAAGCTTTCACGAAAACCTTGGCATCGTGTAACGAGCGCCCCGAATAAAAAATAATTTCGCTCGTAAAATTTACGACTTTTTCCAGCCATTTCAGTGTTTGAAGAGCGAAAGTAATTCGGTCATAAAATTACGAGTAAACAGTCGTTTTTTCATGGAAATAAAAGCGCCCCCACTGACGGTTGACTTCTGTAATCGGCTTAGCTCGGACCCCTCGCCCAGTCTGCTGGTCTCCCTCGGGACCCGCGTGTGATGCAGCGCCCGTAAAAGCTTGATGAGAAAATCTTATCTACAGATTATAAATTGGTTTGGCGTAATTGACTCATAAAATTCGGACCTCGGTTTGGTTTACTCTTGGATTAATTTGTACCATATTCCTCGTATTGTTTTGTCTTTTCTGTTTTGTATATAATAATATATGTAGATATGCAATACAGAGTAGGATATTTTTATAAACAATACGACAGAGTTTTCTTTGGCAACATTATATTAAGTTTAAGCCAAGCCGGTCCCGTGACAGTGAGAAGAAAAAGGTTTGTCCATTGGCTGTGCCTGGCTAATATGGCGAGCTCTAATCTCTTTCTGGCACAAAGGAGCTGCCATGACGGGGCAAAATTTGACGCGAACCATTTAATATTTAGGTATTCCAATATGCAGGCGTACAGTTCAGCACAATATGTTTAGGACACATAAAGGAATTTTTATTTTACTATTCAAAAATGTCAAATTATTTTTATACGCGTTTAATTAGTTGACCTGGAAAGCTGATGAATAAATTTAAGTTAAGGTTATTAAAGTTAACATCCAGGAACCTTTGCGAAAGAACAAATATGTGTTTATAAATTAATAGAATTCTACGCTTAATACACTCGGTAACAAAGACGTGTATTTGCTAGTTATCATACAAAATATCTTATTTGAAATCCTAAATATACAAATTGTGTGCACAACAGTACATTGCCGGCGACCGCCAAGTCACTTACGACATTATAGCTGACAATACGGCGGTACAGTCACGACGATATCTACCAGCGTTCCTTCTAGTTACTGAGAATCGGTCACAAGCAGTATCGAACACTTTGCCTAATGTTCAAAACTCCAATACTATTCTCTCGATAAATGACATGACAAATTAATGGATTTATTATGAGCGGGATTGCGCGCTCTGTTTCTTTTTTTCCCCGCGTCGGGTTAGGACGAATGCATTTTTAATTGAGTGAGGCACTTTTGTGGACTGTATAAAACGGCCACCGCATGCTTGGGATGTTTTTTGTTTGATTGACGGGTAGTAATGGGCAGGTGCGTAAGAGGGGCCGACGATAGCTACTTCGCTTTTTCGCCCCGTTGCCCCGATGTTCGCTTTTTGTCTGTCGCATCGTTTTGCCGATTCAGTTTTGTTGTAACGTGATTGTTTTAACAAACTAAGAACACCATGTGCTTGCTGATATTTGTAACTTTTGCTAATTGTTAATGACAAAAATCGCCAGACGTGACTGGTTGGATTTTAAGGACGTCTAGATTCTAGTGGCTTTTTTGAATTACAGAATTGAAATATTTTTAATATTCATGTTTCTTAACATTTGCTTATAAACCACGAAATATATGTATAATAAATTAAAAATTATTTATATGCGTCTATCAGAAAATGGCCTAAAACTTATCAGTAGCGCCATCTACATTCAATTAAGGACATTAAATTTATAACATTCATAATTTGTATTTATTAATGTTTTTCTATTTGCATTTGCAACTAATTTTTATTTAATAAAAATTAAGATAATAGAACCACTCACAGTATTTTTGCCAAACTTTACCTCGCTCAACGGTACTGTTGAATTATCCGCGATCAGTACCTACTCTAAAATATTTTGAAAAAATGTTGAGACTAGGAATACATTCTTTCTTGCTTCAAATAGAGTACTTTTTCTTTAGAACACATATGTTTGTATTTCCTCTGGTATTGAAAGACGTCATGTGCACGTTTGTAACCTCAACAATATATATATATACGAATACGAAGTAAAAATTAAGTACACATATCTTAAAGCTGTGTAGAGCTTATGTTTTCAATTGTTTTTCTTAAATCATCTTTTGTTTACAGTCACTGCAGAGCGCTGCGCGACGAGCGGGCACCTCGTGCGCCAACTGCAAGACTACCACAACGACACTGTGGAGACGCAACCAGAACGGCGAGCCAGTCTGCAACGCCTGCGGACTCTACTACAAACTACATAATGTGAGTCAATCTACCCCTATATAATGACTATTTACTAACGAACAGGATTGAGACAGGATAGAGGCTCTATCCGAGATAAAGGTGATGTAGCCACCTTGTCAGATAATATAATTAAAGAATAATTAGAAGATTAGTTGGATAAATTTATGAATACTTAAGAAGATTTAAATTTAGCCAAACCTAAGCTCTTTGTTAAAGATTTACCTTCTTTCTGAATGAATCAAATATGAGTTAAATATTTATTTATAAACTCCGTTCTTTTATAAACCCATATTCCCTCAAGAGACCAACTCCCTCGTGATGAATCGGCAGATTCTTGGTGACAGATAACAAGCGACTGCCGCGCCCCCTGACGCCGGTTAATGTGTCATAACACCCGGCGATTGTCCCCAGCCAGCTTGTGGCCATTTAGCGACTACTTTACATTATTTTAGCAATACGAACGTTGATAATAAACAAAAGTGTAGTTGAATTCTTAATACATTCATGAACCAACGTTATTCAAAGTATCTTAAAAATAAAATTCAAGTACTTAGTATTTGAAACAATAAATTGTTTTCATACAATTAAAAGTGCTCTAAAAATTAAGTGCATTTCTCACGGCACTCGCAACCCCGATGTGTAATAATATACCCTTGTGCAAACTCGGCAAGCGATACATTCGCAAAACAACAAAAGTACGGGATCATACAATGACAAATATATTAACAGACCCTTCGATCGTTTGATTTTTTTTTCCTTTGAAATGTATACTTTATTGCTGTACAAAATATTCAGGCAACAATGTTGTTGGTCTAATTATTCGGAAGCGGCTACAATGGTGCGGAGGGTGTGCCCGCTACTTTAAGAGTTGACGGTATAATGGCAGACATACAATACGGGAATGCAGCGGTAGCGTTCAACAAACATGTACGTTCCCGCCTCTTATACATATTTATATATTTGATCGTATTGAGTTACACAAATGCCGTCAGCCACTCGGATTTAAGATAAGGTGAAGGCACTGATGAAAACATTACTGGCAGTCACCTGAGAATCCGTCCGCGCGGAATTAAAAAAAAACTTAATTGTCTATGTGTTCTTCCAGACTATGTTCTACATGTATGCCAAATTACAGCGACATCTGTAGAGCCGTTCCGGAGATACCTTCAAACAAACATCAATCCATCTAATCATTCGCATTTATAATAATAGTGAGATAGAAAGATTGGACACTTGGATTCTTGACAATGATATTACAAAAGAAAAATATTTCTTAAGTTAATAAGATATATTAAAAACTCATAGAACAAGACAGTAGTTGTGCATAAAAAGTTACTTGTTCAAATCGCGTAATAATTCTGGTCGTAGTTTCGTCATTTTTTTGTCCAATTTAAATATATTCGTATAAAGTAAACATATTCGTAGATTTAATTAATATATTCCATGCAAATTATTGTAGCAGACTTTTAAAATAATAAAAACAAATGTACGTAATAAAAATTGCATTTGAGTGAATCATAAAATATGTCGCTTATTCGGTATATAGCTTTAGTTTGCTTATGTCAAGTATTTCTAACTTTTGAAAACAAACACTGATATAATTCGGCGAGACTCGAAGCGGATACATCGTGATCGATTTCACACAAAAAACGCAATTCATACTATTGTATTACGCACGAGCCCATTGTGATACACCGACGTCAACCTTACTATACGCGAACGAAAACATTTTGATATTTTAATATTTAAAAATAATTTTCAAAGAAATATTAGGTTATAAAGTAATATAGAATTACATTTTTAAATTGCATTTGTTATTGCGATAGTTAAATATTTATGATTATTGTTAATTTTATAGCATAATCAAAATATGTTTTAATGATACGGTCATAAAAGTAAAAATTATGTTACGTATATATTGCATACATTTTTAAGTATTATACAAAAATCAGTAAAGCATGATTTGCTTGTTAATAAATAAATAAAAAAAGTTTAAAAGTATCAAAGCGTGTGCGTCGTTGTATAGAGAAAAAACTCTCAAGTGTGTTTACTCACAATATACCTCTTAAAGGTATACTATTGTTTGACCATGCACGCTTAAATTGCCTTCATAGAGTATACAACTTGAGCCGACAAGGATCTTGTTCTTTTGGTCCTTGTAACCAAAGGTTTTGTATTATTGTTTTTAATAAAAATATTTTATTGGTACTTTGTGATAGTTTGTTTGTCTTTGATTGATATGGGAACGTTTTTGACTCGTGTGGTATGCGAACGGATTTAATAAAACAATTTAAAACATTGTGAAAATTAAACATTGTACGTTTTGAAATTTTACGTTGTTTATTTATATTCTTCTTCTTCTTCGTCGTTACAGTCTTGTCAGACTGGTCGTGGACATCAAGTATCAGTGACCCGCTTTACCAAGCGCCGCCACTCCTCCCTAGTCGCTGCCGTTTTAGTACATTGGTAGGGGGACATCTACAGCCGCTCTGATTTGGTCGGTCCACCTCATAGGCGATCTTCCTCCTTCCTTATATTATAAATGTTTTATTATATAATGTATTATTGTGAATGTTTTGATGGATGGATAGATGTTTGTTTGAAGGTATCTGCAGAACGACTAAAGGGATCCAAATGAAATTTGGCATACATATAGAACATAGTCTGGAAGAACACGTAATCTACTAATTAGGTTTTTTTAATCCGCGCGGACGGAGTCGCGGGCGACTGCTAGTATTTATTGTTTATTCTTTGTTTACTTGAGGATACTAGGAACTGTTTTATTTTGATTATGTGTAAAAATAATTTGTTATTGTTCAGTTAATTTTGCGTACATTTTAGTCAGATGATTAAAATCAAATCATAAAAGCTAATGATTGGTCATTACTTCATCAATTATATCTAATCTATTTTAAAATGCTTAAAAATTTCCTTTAAAATGTGAATAAAGTGATATTAAAATGATCAATTTATATTAAAGATATTTAAAATGTATATTATTAATTGCTTTAAATTATTAAAAGGAGATAAAATTTTCCTATAAATTTTATTTTAAAATTTCAACTGTGTAGTTTTTAGTCTATTTATATAAATACCTAGTCCAAAAATATGATAAATATGAATTTAATCATGCTGAATCTAAGTCACACGGTCATTTTAAAATCCTGTCTCACAATAAACACGATAATAAACTATTTAATAAAACGACAGATAACAAAAAAAAATAATAATTTTAACGATGCTATTTTTACTACATCTACGATTTTATAGATAATATCAGATTAGGATAATGTTTCATAGCCATTTCTTAGCAGACACTTTATTCAGTAACAACCTTGAACAACAGAAATTAACATTCAAATTATTAGTAAAGCTAAAGTTTTATAGCGATGACTTGATTTTTATTTTCAAAACACTTTTTTGATCCACTGCTAATGCAGAACTAAAATATCGGAATTTAGTTAACATAGAGACGCTGTTCTATTTAGACAAAACGATGATTCAATACCGTGGGATGATTCGAGCTTTTGGGTACAAACTGTAAACGTAATTTTATAACAAAACATTTAAATTAATTTATACTATTTTATTACTTATTTATGTATTTTTAAATAATAAATATCTTACAATAATCGCCGACTATGCATAGAGATTATGTAAGTTATATGTAGAGTCGCTTTAACTTTATAAACACTTAAAATCGAGTTCAGTTTGCGTTGTGTACAAATGGCGTTAGTTGTCTTAGACCATAGAAAGGTTTCGTTCGAATGATAAAGCAATTCTTCAACAATTAATAATCGCCCCAAGCGGAGCCGAGCCCAATTGCTATTGAATACTATCGAAAATAAATTATTTATTTGGCCATTTACAATAGCCGGGTAATAGGATTACTTTAGGTGCGTGGGTTCGAATCCAGGGCCGTACCTGGCGACCGCAGTTCCCCAACAAAAGCCCGGTTTGATGTGGCTTTTTATAAATTTGTTTATTTAATTTATCACGCTCGTTTATTTGGTACTTCCTTCGCGTTACCGCGATTAAGTTTTTATGGTTTGTATTCGATTATATTTTTTTCCGGTACGATCATTTATCATTCATCGATGAGTCGGTTATAACTTTTTGCGACCATTTTAAATTCTAAACATTTTTTTCCTAGGCAACTTGAATCATAGTGGTCAGATGGCAAAATGTTCTTTTCAAAATTTAAATCAACAAATATACTTTTGATGGCCTTAAAAATGTATTATACATAATTATTATTACGTATTCCTATTTAATTATGTTTATATTTATGTAACAGTATTAAGAAAAAATTTCACTCACCGTTTAATAATTTAAAGTCATATTTAAAATACAGTAGGCGTGAGAATTAGTTCAAGCAAAGAGGTAACGCAATCATTTTTTAATAATTTGAATACCTGTCAACAATCAAATACTCTTGACCGGAAGCTGAACCAAAAATATAGGAATTACTTAATACAAAATACTACTTATGAACTAGTTACGTTATTGACTTTAGCTCTTGATAAAGTAAACCTTATGAGTTGTATAATAAAACTCTACATGAGTTAGTCGTTTTTATACAACGTTTCGAAACTAGTCGACGATGTTAAGTGCCTTCCATACAAAAGTATTGGATTACCGGCTGCATTGAGTGTTAGAAAGAGAGCGGCCATAATAACAGTTCAAATGATACATTTGGAATACAATGGAGCGATCAATTCAATTTTTGAATTGAGAACGCTCTCCTAGCCTTTTTTTTATTTCATCTAAAGTGCTGTTTTGTTCAGCCAACATCCGACGGATTCTGACAGTCACTGTTTTTTCTCCCGTTTTTCTTTCGCATCAGATTTTAATGTTTTGTTATTGATAAAAATATAAAACTTGTAGTCTAAAAAAAAAGTTTACAAATTCAAGGTGACATAACTCGCACCGAAAAGGAGTCCATCACTGTGAACCCCTTTTCTATTTTTTTGGCGAGTGTGAACATTCGCTTATCTAGCAATAATTACCGATGTAAA